CTACAATATTTGTAACTGGCATAATAACTAAATTAAAATTCAGGTAAAAACAACCTATATGGTGAAAATAATGTAGATGAGGTACTTTATACATTCAATAAATTAAATTTAAAAGCAACAAAATGGTTAGTTACTGATGTTTACACATTATCTACAAAAAAACTACATATTTTTTGTTGACATAATAACTGTATATAAATTCAGTTGGAAAGAATTTATATGCTAAAAATAATGAAGATCAAGTACTGTAAAGATTCAACAAGTGAATATAAATCCAACAGAATGTTTCCATTTGAACTACAATACTAGATAAAAAAAGAAAAGAAACAAAGGCTACTATAATTGTAGCGCAAGTCTGCTACAACTCAAACAGAATAAATTGTTCAAAAACTTGTCTACCATCTTTCTTATAAACTAGCATCAACTAAACAATTGTACTACATGGTCCATACAAAATATTACTACTACTTCTTCTTTCTCTGGACTCGTGTTTTCTCATTCAAAGTTGGTGCACCTTTCCGCCTTGCCAATTTGCCTGTCACCTCACTATCACTAATTGCCCCATGCTCCTGCTTCTTTCTAGCATAGTCCCAAAGTAGCGCTCCATAGCGTCTATGGTGTTGGTCAATATCAGAAAGGTCTTCTGCCGGAATTGATAACTCTCCAAGACTAACATACTCTGCAAAGGCAGCAACAAATACACCACAATCGCTGCAAAAAATAAAAAAATATCAATATTTACCAAACAATCAGAAAAAAAAGAGGTTAAATGTATAGAAAGAAAGAAGATTTTTGTTACAGTGATCCTTCTTTTTGCTGTGGTATCTCTCCGACAATCCATTGAATGTTAAGAGGATCGGTAACAGGTTTCTCAATGTATGCTTTTGTATTCTTGAAGTTGATGTCTTTACGCTTCCCATAAAATCCGGTGCATGACAAATACAAAGGGATAATAATAGAAAACTTGTCGACACAAGATTCAACAATAGGGTGATTGTGTGAAGAGACCATGGAATCATACGCATAAAGACATCTTTCTGCAATGTCAAAAACAACCAACACCCAGTGGAATTTTTCTACAATGTTGACGGGCATGATGTCATAATCAACTTCATCCCATGCAACATTTCCGAGTAGTCTATACCCCAATATATATTCTGCTACAATGTCATGGAGTTTGACAATATAAAACATCTTTTCTTGAGGAGAATTTTGGAACTTTTCATAAATCTGATCAATCCTAGTCTTGAACATAAAATCTGTTGTAGTAAACCTGGTCTTTTGTGGGGGCCATACTTGCCTCTTTTTCTCAAGTAATACATTATAACATTAATGTGCTGCAAAAAAAATAGATTCCATTTATTCTACAAGTTATCTTCAAATATTCTACACAAAACTACAAAATAACTACAATTCATACACAAATAGAATACAAAGAATCTATCATTCAGAATACAAACTATCTACAAATTATCTACAAAAAATTTACAGATCAAATACATTGAATCTTACCGAGTCATTGAGGACTTGTCCTGGGTGTGCCAGGGAAAAGAACCACTCCTTCTTGTCAACCTTTTCAACTCCAAGATCCAACCATGGCTTAATTATGTTGTCCTTTATAGAATACGGAGCCTTCCTCCTATATGAACAAATAGAAATTAAAATAAAATTGTTGAATGAAGTGGATGTGTAAAAGATGAATACTGGCCTAAAAGTGTCAAATTGTGCAACCTAACCTCTTTGAACCTTTGTCGGTGCCGTGGTATAACCACTTGTGGAATTGATCCAACAACTCAGGGTCTACATTTTGACCAATAACACTAGTAAATGGGTGCTTGAGGTGAAAAATTTGAGGTCCAACCGAGGTGCTGCCACCAGAACTATATAAAGGGAGAAATGGTGATCAGGCATGCTTTCCGGGCTGCCTTGTTCTACCTTGCTCCACGGGTGTTGTTTCATCTTGTATAGGCTCGCCGAACTTAACTAACTGAGAGAAGTTATCACGCAGCTCGAAATCATCAAGCGTAACCTCCTTATTCTCACCTCTGGATTCTTTTGAATCACCTACATTCACAAACTCTGCCTCTTCACCTACATTGTCATCTTCCGGATTCTGCTGTTCGCTTTGAGCTGCTACTGTCAATCCGTGAATTGGAGATTGTGCATACATATCTTCCCTCTCTGTAACACCATGTATATATAACTTAATAAAATTGTAAAAATATTGAAACAAAAAGAAAATATCTCTGAAAACAATTTCATACCTGCATTCTCTTCATCAACTGCCCCTTCAAAATGTGTATATAAATCAACACCTGCTGGATAATTTTCTTCACCAAGTGCACATTCAACATGTTATGTTTTTTTCATTAAAAATGTTAAATCATACTGGATAGTATTGGCTTGACAATTTATGAAGATATGAGATAATATCTGCATAAATCTGTATAGCTGTGCCAATAAGTTGGATTTAATTGTATATATTGTGTATATATAATATAGACAAATTGTAGTTATGTTGTATATGTTAGTAGACTGTATTTGTAAAATAATTCTGGAAATATAAATGAGTATAAACAGAAATGAACATAAACAGAAATGAATATAAACAGAAATGACATAAACCAATTCGAGCCCACTGAATTCACAGTGTTTCCTTAAGGAATTTAATCCCCTCCTAGTACCCAAGGTTATGGATTATTTCCTCCCAGGATAGAACGAATTACACACTGGTGTAGTGGTACTTCAAACCCCAGTGTTTCAGCGAACACAAAGTTCGGTAGCAAATCACACTTACTTTTTGCTTTGTTTTGATGCTAAAAGTATGCAGGAGAAGGAGAGGAAACTCAGAAAATTGTAGTTAAAATTCTGAGCAGAATAGTGTTGTATTTATAGCCAAAGTTGGGTCTCTTCAGAATGGCTGTTTATGCAAAACGCCCACAACATAAATGCCATTACATAAATAGCCATTTACTCAATAATAAAGAGGGAAAATAAAGAGGGAAAATTGAAGAGGGTAGTTACTTTTCTGTTACCAAAACAGAAAAACGGATTGGATTTAATATTAATATTTAATATTAATATTTTGTTATTAAAACAAATATTTAATAACATTTCTGTTAATATTTTACTATTAACAAATAAATTTGGTCCAAAAAGTTAATCAATCAATCGATCATTTGACCGAATCCGAATCTGAATCCGAAGCCGTAGCCGAAGCCGAAGCCGAGCCGGGCGAGCGACGACGACGACGGCGCGAGGCTTGCCTTCTTCTCAACTCTTTAAGAGCTAGAAGAAGAGCAATTGCTTATATACCCATAAAAAACCTCTTCCTCTTCCAATATGGGACAATGCCCATTTGCCAAGGGAGGGGGAACTTAAAATTTCACTCAAAAATTTCATTTCCCTCCATTTCCCATTCACCCTCTTTTAAGTATTTAATATATTAATTAAATACCTTAAAAACCCAACAATCCCCCACATGAATGGGGAATGGCTATATCACGGAAGTATGCATGAAAAACTGTGTGATTCACAAGTAAGGATTAATTGCATCTGGATAAGTAGGTTTCCCTTTGAACTTTCCGTAGTGAACTTATGTCGGATATCTCGATCAATCGGTAGATTTGATATCTTTGAACCGTCGAACTTTAGTGTATACCTAGACAACCACAAGTCACACAACCAACCCTTAACCGTCTTTGGTTCTCATTGTTGTGTTCGTTTCAGCCATGAACACCGCCTGGTTTCATAAGTGCGTAGAGAACTGGCCTTGCTGTGTTCTCCTTGAAGCGGCTAACACTTCACACTTACATAGGTGATTCCTAAACGTGTCATCCCGTAGATACACTATTTGATATACCCTGTATCAAATTTAGAAATCATTAAAAAGCCTTAATGTTTTATCCTTGGTACTGAACATTGTCTCATCACGAGAATGGACCAAAAGTTTAGTTGACAATGTTGAACCGTCATAAATGACTTTGTTTGATCTCCTTGAACCTAGATCTTGGGATCTCCAGTCTTCTAGGTAGAGTTACCGCCACTATGACTTGTTCTCGGCCACAGTCCCATTCCCTTTTATGACTTCTCAACTACCTCTCTAGTTAGGCCTTTTGTAAGTGGATCCGACACATTATCACTTGACTTTACATAGTCAATTGTGATAATTCCTCTAGAGAGTAATTGTCTAACGGTTTTATGTCTTCGTCGTATATGGCGAGACTTACCGTTATACATAACGCTCCCAGCCCTTCCAATTGCCGCTTGACTATCACAATGTATGCATATTGGTGCCAACGGTTTGGGCCAAAATGGAATATCTTCCAAGAAATTTCGGAGCCATTCAGCTTCTTCACCGGCTTTATCTAAGGCTATGAACTCAGCCTCCATTGTAGAGCGGGCAATACAAGTTTGTTTGGATGACTTCCAAGATACCGCTCCTCCACCAATAGTGAATACATATCCACTTGTTGACTTGGAATCAGTTGATCCGGTGATCCAATTTGCATCACAGTATCCCTCAATGACCGCAGGATATTTATTGTAATACAAAGCAAATTCCTGGGTATGTACTAAATACCCCAAAACTCGTTTCATGGCCATCCAATGAGATTGGCCTGGATTGCTCGTATATCGACTCAATTTACTTATAGCACAAGCTATATCTGGTCGTGTACAATTCATGA